AAAAAATCCCGTGTATATTAGCACCTCCTTCCCCCAAAATTGAAATCTTTAATTTTAAATCTGACAAAACATTTGGAGGATCTGTTTGCCAAAAACTACAAAACTCCTACGAAAGAAATCTAGGAAGACCTAGGTAAAAGGAGAGAAATACTATGTTTATGGATGGGGAAACACAGTATATTTTTTAAGCTGTCTGTTCTCCCCCTTTGGATCTGAGGATTCAGCCGAGTTTCAGGCACAAGCGCAGCGCCACCCACGCTGTCGTGGAGATCAACAAGCCCGTGCTAGCTGGCGGAGCATTTTTGAAATAATCGCAACACTGGGGACTCACGCAGTGGAAGGATCTAGGTGACGGGTACCTGAGGACTCTTGGTACCGTTTGGTCAGCTCTTTTGTGAGTCTAAAATTTTCTAAAATAAAATGTTTTTAAAAAAATCGTGTATAACTTATGAAACTTAGACTAAAAAATGGCACTGCCTGCCCTGTGATTTCCTAGCCTGATTCTCACTCTTTAAATGGTCTCATGATATTTTACCTACATATTTCTAAATAAAAAGCGTGTCCTGCTAATTTTTTTCCCCTTTCAGACATTATCTGTAGACTTCCTTCTGTGGAAGATGAAAGTATGTCCATGAAGAAACAGCTTTCTCTACAACCTACACCTCCCCTCACTTATCTACCCAACATGGTTGCAATTTGTTTGAATTTTCTTGAAATTTTATATGTGCCGTGGACACACACACATAGCTGATTATGTGAGTACTATCTGAGCTGAGCCATACAGTGTTCTATGATTCTATTTCCTTTCTGGTAATTTTTTCCTGTTTTTCCTGAGCTAATAACTGACAGTTATTTGATGGCTTAGTTTTCTATGTACCTGTCACTGATTTACTGCTGGCATTTCTAAAAGCGCTGTCACTCTCTCAGATCTGCCTGCACATCAGTCTCCCAATCCTGTGTGTTTTTCTCGGCGACACCACCCATGAACTCCTTTGTTCTGCCCTGGAGACCGGTTCTCGCTAGGTCTGTAGAGCAGGGGTTTTCCTGGGACTCCCGTCAGTGGACCCCAGGGAACCTCCTTTCTGTTTGTTTGGCCTGTGTTTTTATTCTAGAGACTTAGGCAATGGGTATAAAATCATGTATAAATCACGAGGCACTGAAAAGCTGATTGAAACATTTCCTCAGGGGCACATAGATGCGATGCGGATGGAAGTTTCTGATTGAAGGCAGACCGAGTGTCATTCTTTTCCTGGGCTGATCATTGTCCCCAGAAAAGAACGCCGTGTCCTGCTGCGGGGTCTGTGCCGGCGGCGGGGGCGGGGTGGGGGAAGCGTGCGAGCGAGGTGTTCTCTGCACTTCTCACCATCGCCCCCAGAACCCCCCCGTCTGACTTTGATCTTTTCAGAGGAGGGCAGGTGGGCCTTTTCAGAGACCTCTGGTGCTGCCCCTTCTCTTCCTGGGAACCCACAGAGGTGATCAGACGCTTCCTGGTGACTTCCTTGTCTAGACACTTACGTTCCAGTTTTCTTCGCCCTTCTAAGTTAGTTTCATTTATCCATCTGCTTTGCAGCTTCCAAAATATCATCATGCTTTATCTACTCCGGGCTCTTCCCGTTGCTTTTAATTCTGTCATTTTAGTTGGGTATCGGGACATGGCGAAGGTGCTATTAGCTGTGCCCGACCGTGGTTGACGCCATTTTCTTCCTTGTGTAAGATGCTATTCTCGACTTGCATTAACAGCAGCACCATTTTCTGGCGTGGTTCACGGCCGCGGCCCTGCCTCACACCGTCAAGTAGAATGATTAGACTTAAACGGAAGGCCACGTGCATGGTGCCTGGGCTGGACTTGGCTGCAGTCAGCCCTATGCAACAGAGTTGTTCCATCAGCAGCCGTTAATCTGATGATAAGGTAGAAAATAGTTCCTACTTAAATGTATCAAGGTTCACATTTTATGAACGACAAGTTCAAAGTGTCAAAAATGTATTCATTTGTGGGCGATGCTGGAAACATTTACATTATGTTGTATCATATTACTTATCCATAGAACCGCAGTCACCAGTTATTTCGTCCAGGTGCCTGAATTATTTCTTGGTCATAGCTCCATGACTTGAGTTGATTCAGATTCATGTCAATTGGATAAGATGTTTGCGTGTTTTATTCGAAATCCTTCGAAATAGTCAGGAATGTTACAAATACATGGATCTGTCTATACTGGAGCCTTGTCTCTGACTTGTCTCTGACTCTAACAGTCGAATTTATTGTCCATGCAGACATCTAGCTGATCATTAGGCCGGTTTGCCATTTTAAGGACTGTTGAACTTGGGGTTTGACCCCCTGTATTCTTCAGCGCCACTCCTTGCTTAATTTAGCTTCTTAATTATTTTTGTTCTATCACGTATATTGTGGGAAATATGTTGGGCTAATTTATTTTTAAGGTCACTTACAGCCTTAACTGTTATTTTGCAGAGTGTATTTTCCCAAATTTGAGCACTCTACTAAGGCAAAGATAAGTTTGGCTAATGAAAATATTAAAGCAAAAAGTTTATCATTTTTTTCTGATTCGATTCCCTTACAGTCAAATGCATATTTTCTGCTACCCCTGCCGTGTTCATTCCTAGGTTATCCATGTAAATGAAATTTATTAATTCACTCACCAAAATTCTGTAGATGCCTTGTGGTTTTATTTTCATAACATTTAGAAAGGGACAAATTCAGAGAACATAAATTTTCTCCCGGAGGTTGTTTAAATTCAGTTGGCATTTATGTTTGAGCTCAAATGCCACATGCATATTTAAGGCTGGTTCCCTGGACTCTCTGGCACGTTGTGTTGCTCACTGTGCTGTTTTTCCACGTTGCCTCATGTCTAAAAGGAGCCTGATCTTGAAACATCTTACATTTTACTTCCTGGGTTAATCATATGAATTTGTAGCGAGCCACACATATTGCTCGCGTGTTTCTGTAAGTGATCCTATAGGTTGACTGATAAAAATAAGGTAAACATTGTGTTATTTCAGTGTTTTTAAACACCTATAAAGAACCAGGGAGAAACGTGATTTCATTGTAGTTACCAATTTTCTAATACCTTCTTTCACTGAACTTATTACGTCTTTTTTTTTTTTTCTCCCCATAATGTTGGTTAGGGAGTAACAATTGGACAGCAGACTTCCATGACAAAGTGCCCATGTACACACAGATTTGAGGACCGCACGGGGTTCTGAGACCCCAGCCGGTACTTTCTCCCCCTCCAGCGGAGACTGCTTTTCCGGCTTGTACTGCGTCCCCATCTCACGGTCTCGCGCCCCGCGCCGCTGCTTTCTCCTGTCCCTTCTGGCTTGTCTTCCATCCTTGCCCAGCAGTTACTTTGCCGTGTGCTAATGTTAGAAACAAAGTCCTGAGCACGCAGGAGCAGAAACGGCGTCTCTTGCACCTTACCGTGGCGATCCAACCAACCCGGTTTCCTAGCACGTCTTTCCAAAGCAGGCTCTTCTCTAGCCAAGAAAGAAAAAAAAGAACCTACTTTCATCCTGCCTTGGCACATGCTCCTCTCCCTGTGCTGGAATGTCCTCTGCCCTCCTCTCTCTCTCTCTCCCTCCCTCCCCCCCTCCCTCTCTCTCTCTCTCTCTCTCTCTCAGTCTCCCTCCCTCCCTGCCTGCTGAGCTCTTACTCATCCTTCAGGACTCAGTTTAAAACGTCTTCTCATCTGTGGACCCTTCGTCATTGTGCTCCCCTGAGTCAGTTGGCTCCCGCCCGCGGGTTCCCACGCACTGTTCTGGAGAACCACCGTCTGTGGTTTGCCTCCATGCCTCCCACCACGGGGTGAACTCCCCTGGGGTTGGGTGTGTGTCCAGGACCTAGCGTGGGATCTGATCCACGGCTGCTCTCAGTGCGTTGTTCACAGATGAACGGAGAGTGAGCAGGAAGAAATGGGTGTTGAGTAAATAAATGCGTCTGCGTAAAGTAGGACCCGGGCCAGTGCGGGGAGGCAGCGTTCCTGTCTTTATGCCACTGTCACACTCATTTCTTCTGAGAAACCAAACATGGCTGTCTCGGGTTGGACGTGTACTAGCTTTAACGTATAAAAAGGGAAACATTTAAGACCGGTTTCCCATCCATAGTTCTGAACCATAGGAACCACCGAGAAGGAAGACTGGGCCCTCAGTAATTCAGCAGAAAGAACTTAAGCTTTATGTAGCAGTTCTAGAAGGGAACAAGTGGATTCACGGAATGTCAGAAATGAAATTGCAGAGAAAAAGATGAACCCGAGTCACGTGATTCAGTTTGATTGTTTTACTTGTGAAATTCTCTTGGTGCAGAGACACATACCAACTTTTAGGGAGTTGGGTCAGAGAGCAGAGCTGACTGCAGAATTTCCAACATTGCTGAATTAAGATGAAAACATTGTTTCGATCATTTAAAAATATGTGTTCAAATAATGATGGTGATGATGATGATGAAAGCTCATTTGAGACATTTTACTCTTCAGAAGTCTAGGAAGGATTTTTAAATGTGCTATGGAGAACTTGAAAATACTATTAAATGTTAGAAACAAAGTCAGATACTAAAAAGATTGCTTTGAAAATTTAGGCTGATGATCTATCTTGTAATTTTTTTTTTTATTATTATTATTGATAAGATTCTGGAATGTTTACTGAGAATTGCCTCTAATAACCCCTTAAATTTGAAACTTGGAATTTAAAAATATATATATAGTATATCATATATTTAGAAATGGGGTAGTGGTTAGTATTTAGCCTCACTAGGATTATAACTCAGATTTCTAGTCATCACAAGACTTTTTTCTTAACCAAGCATTTATTAACATTCATAACAGTTACGCAGCCTGAGAATGGCACTTGGGTATTGAAGACACATCTGCTTCAGATCTGTGGAGTGTGTCGTCACCACTGGGTTTTTCTTCATTTTATTTGTTTTTGCTTTATTGTCCACTAAACGCCTAATAAGCCTGTTAAAACTGCCCTGCGTTTTGTGTCACTTGCAGGTACTGTGGTCTTTGGAACTGGGTCATTGGATTTCCGAGGAACCGTTCGAACTTTCTGACTCCTTCCCTGCAGCTCCTGTAAGTCAGACATTACTTTATGATGGAAATATCTTTAATTTGGTATTCTCAGGAAATTATTATGCTAATATTATGCTATAGACTCAAGTTTTTACTAAATTAAGAGCGATCGTGCCCATAACTGAAAAGACGTATTCATAGAACTTAACGCTTTTTATCAATTTATTTGTGAGAACAAATGTGAGAACATTCTGCAAGAAGTTGTGAGGAATACATTCTCAAAAAATTTTAATTATAGAAGTCCTCAGGATTGAGAAAAATAGTAAATCCTCGAGAAAGTAGTATTATATCCTGTGTACAGCTTTAAAAGATAACGCTGTTGACTCTCGGTAGAGATAGAATTGATAGGTATAAAAATTGTGGTCTGCTGGCATTACGGTGTGGTCTTTGTTTCGGCGTTTTCCCAAACTCAGCTTCGACTTTACTGACTTATAAGTACTCCAAATGCTAATGGAAAAGTTCCAGGTTCTAATTTTTTTGAGGATTAAGTAATAATTTAGTAGGTAATTTTGCATTTACTTGGAAGCAGAAACTGGCTTTCATTTCCAAAAATATTTACTGGTTTGTGACGGTTTATTCTTTTGAAAGATTAATAAGTGAAAGATAAATGGTGATTTTTATCTGTGACCAGTATTCGTGTGTTTTTGGTTGTTTTGAGTATGTCATGTGACTATTATATGACAAGAAGTTGAACTCTGCCCCGAATCACTTCGATTCTCTAGGTTGTCGGGTTGTTTTGTTTTCATTTTTAACATTACTGTTTTGATTTTCTGTCAACTTTATAAATGTTTTCTTAAGGAGAGAAAAAATTCCTCTCAGCAAGACTTTGTTTGAAATTCCATGTAAGGAACTGAGGCGTAAAGTAAAAACACAAATGCCCCCTTTTCTCTGTCATAGGAGAATGTTTATAACCCTGAACAATACAGTATGGTTTATCCTTGAAATTCATTCAACCTGCATGCCCTGTGGTCTTTGAGATATCCTAGAAACTTTTGTTTCCTTCGGTACGGCCGTTGGATTTATAAACCCTTCTTACACGTACTAAGACAGGGAGCTTCTTGTGCTTGTCGAGAAGGCACGACTTGGTGGAGAAAGCTGACTTTCTGGCCCTTCCAATGTCCGTGAACTGACCCCAAACGCATAGCAATGTTAACTGTTCTGAAACTAAGCTGCGGGTGGGGGTGGGGTGGGCACGTAGGGGTAAAATAAATAAGAAAAAGGGAATGAAGGAACACGTGGTCGAACCGTAGAAGATGACAGGCTCGCGGTAAATGCCGGTTGCAGATTTGGCTCTAAGCTTTTCCTAGCGGCTGACTCGAAAGTAAATGTGTGAGAAATCGCTTCTGAATTATAAAGCCTCACACAAATGCTTATTAGTGTTAATGGTACTATGAAAACTTCAGAGTTAAAACTCTAGGAATTTAAGGTCTTGCAGTCCTGGGCTTAAATTCATGTTCTCAAAGAAGAAAAGTTCTCTGTGCCTATATGAATATGCTATAAACATCAGATTTTGTTTTTGTACTTCAGAACACTTTTTTTTTTCTTTTTTTAAGTTTTCTGGTAGCCGTTTAAAAGAAATCTTACCAATACAAACTATTTTTTTCCTTAACTAACTTCGGGGGTGAGTCGAGCTTGAGTAGTAGAGCGTCATACGTGCTTTAACTGGGAGGGTTTTCTCAGCCACTAACTGCAGCCTGTAACCTAGGACATATCTTAGCAGAAGCAGGAAAAGTCCTCATGTTAGACCAGTGCGTGAAAGAGAGCGGAGTCTCTTCATCACGAAATTAATTTCTTCATCACGAAAAATCAGGATTTTCCTTGTCACGAGGCACTATCTGTTGTTTTGGAATCAAATTACAAAATCGTAAATATTATCATAGAAGCTAATGTAGTCATCTCACCTAATAAGTTATATTTAATTACTAAAAATACCTTCATATTTAATAACCAGGCAGAAAAAAAAAGAAAAACATAGTACACTCTTTACATAAACTGAAAGAACAGATCCTGGAAATTTTCACCATAGAAACTTGAACTCTATATTTGAGCATTAACTTAAAACTAAGCTGGCAACACATAGGTAAATATGCTGTTTTCAAAATGAAAACTTAAAGCACCTAGAGGAGAAGCAAAAATGCATTAACTATGTTTTTCCTTCTCCGAATATTAAACTGCCAATAACCACTTCTCCGAAAATCCCTGACTATGTAGTGTATTTGTATGGCTTAGAGAATGTTTTCTTCCTTTTAATTAAGATAGCGATGCTGAATGCAGGACCTGTGGATATTTACACGATCTATAAACAGTGCTCAGCAGAAGCAGTTCCAGGGTTATCTCCGCCCTCCAGCCTCAGTGTTCTGTTTTCCAGTTATTTACTGATGAACTCGCGCCTAGCACTCCTGGCTGTGACAGCAACGTCTGTAAATCGTCAGTCTTTTTCGCAGGCTTAAATTCATGTTCGCAGAGTCGCTCTACCAGGTCACAGGGGGAAGGTTCTGGCTGTGCTTTGGTCCGTCGAGGGAGGCAGGTGTGCGTGGTGACGTCTTCGGGGCCCTCCCTGGGGACGCCCGAGAGCAGGCTCTGAGGTGGCCGAGGGGCCGCACGAGGCCGTGTCTCGGAGCTCTGGGACACAGTCTATGCGGGCAGCCCCTCAGAAGTCCGCCGGCCGGATCATCATGGCTGTGGCCTTGAGCGAGTAGCCGGACCCCTTCCAATAGTACCACTTGATGCCGTTGAACTTGTTTGTGCTCTGCCTCTGTGGGTAGTACATCCCGTTGAGGTTGGAAGGGCCACAGGCATCGAACCACCAGCCTGTGGAAGCAAGACACAGAAGGGATTAGGGACCAGGTGGCCCCACCTGTCTCACCGGGAGGTGGAGACACCAGCTAACCCACTGGTCACCCGCACATTCTAAGCCGGCGGCCCTCCTGAGCGGGGCCCTCCGTGCTGGCCCGTGTTTTCACCAGCTTCCTCCCCGATTCTGGCTTGTGCGATGTGAAAGGCCAGGCGTCCATGGCAGTGACAAAGAGGCCCTCCCCCCAGTCCCGATTCGGGGGTCCAGCCGCGGGGGGTGGGGAGGGTGGAAATGTCAGAACTGGAGCAGTCGGTGGCCGCTCCCGTCCACCCAGGATTCCTTCCCCATTCTGGCAGTGCGGGGTACGAAACCCACCAAAGAAATGCTTTTTGTTTAAAATACAACCCCCAGCTTTAAGTGCCCAGTGGAGCCAGATAAAAAGGGAATCTTGAAGCCCCAGACCCAGAACGGACATTCAGAGCTATAGTGGTGCTGTCACCAAGGTGCAGCCGGGGGACAGAGGGAGGGGCTTGTGGCATGGCACACGGGGTGGGGGCACGTCCTTGTCCCACCTGATGGCGAGGCCTGGGGCCCTGGGGCCTTGGCCCAGGCAGGAGCCCGCCCGACGCCTGGGTCTGCAGTAGGGGCTTGGCTTCCATCCACATGGAGTGAGCTGAATAAATCTGAAAACATCGTGTGGGGAAGGACATGCACAGTGTGCTGCCATTTACATAAAACTTTAAAATACAGAAAACGGCCGCAGACTGATTATTGATATCTCGTATGTAATAAATAAATAGTGTGAATGAACCTCACTCGTGATTAGCTTGGCCAGGTACTGGGGGAGTGGCCCTAATTGTCTTTGGACGTTATATTTCTTTAGAAAATACTCTGATGCTACGTTTATACGATGTTGTGTTACATTATCCAGTGCACTGCGGTCACTAGTTATTTCATCCAAGTGCCTGAATTTTTTCCTCATGGTCACAGCTCCATGACCTGAGTTGATTCAGATGAATGTCAATTTGGTAAGACGTTTGTGTGTTTTATTCAGAATCCTTCAAATATTCAGGATCCTTCAAATATTCAGGAACGTTCCAGATTTGTAGATCTGTCCATTCTGGAGCCAGTCCTGACTTCGCGGTAGAACTCACTGTCCTGCAGACATCTAGCTGGCCATGAGGCCAGCTGATCCGTGGCCAGACCCTGCGTCGGAGGCCGAGCCCCCCACGCGGGAGGGGACCGCCTGTCCCGGTGGCCGCGGTCCTCCCCAGCCCCTGTCCACCTCCACTCTCAGCCCTGAGTCTTGATTCGAGTAAATGAACGTGTCGTCCCCCCGGTTATTAACGTGCCTCTGTTCTCGCGAGCGAACAGCTGGGCTCAGTATGGGACTGACAGGCCGGAAAGAAGGGCTGGAAACATTCGGTCCCCTCGCCCCTCGCCTTTCCCCCTTTTTGTTTGCTTTAGAAAGGATTATCATGGCAGGACGAGGGCGACGGGGCAGCTCTCCACATCGATGTACTAGCTTTCTCCCGTTGAAATAATTACCGAATGATTATGTCTAATAAGGAAGACCTGTGTTGCAAACTTATGTTTTTACATATAAATGTATTATCTAAGGAACCAAAGGATTGATTTTTGTAACAGAGCCTAATTCTCTCAGTATTAATTTAAGGACATGAAAGTTTCTGAATTTCAAATTATTTTCATAAATAAATCCTTCTGACTGTAAACAATTCTTAACTGAAGTGCAAACACGTGATAAGCTTGGGTGTTTTCCGTGGTTTTGCAGTACCTTTTGTTTATAAAGTATTGACTGCCCCGGCCCTTATTGAGGGTGTCCTGGGTGTGTAATGAATGACTGTCCAGCAGTCCCGCCAGCGGCCTGCACTGATGAGCCTGCCAGCTGCCCACGTGCCTTCGCGGTCACCGTGCCGCTGGCAGAGCTCTCATTTCTGTTCTAAATCTTTCGGTGATTTTAAGAACTAACTAGACAGTGTTTCTCAGATGTATTTTCGTCTCAGGTACCGTTAACTGGGTCCAGCTGTTTCATGTTTAAGCTTTTAGGAACCAGAAAGCGTTTCTTAGCAGCTGGTTCCTACACTGCAGAGCCATCTCGCCACTTCGAGGGGCGGTGGCAACGGGCATGGCTCCTGGGCATGTTTCCTTTTTTAAAAAAAGCCGTCTGACATGAAAGGCAAAAAACAAGAAGAGCCTGAAAATAAAGGCCGTGATTTAAAGCGGACAGTCATTCATTTTAATTGGAGCACCAAAGAGGCTATTTAACTAGTTTCTACGTCTTTTAATTTGCTATAAGTGGACCCCTCAAAAAAGGTGACTGAAAGTTCCTTGTTTAGTAATAAATTATTAATTGGAAACATTTCTGTAGTAAGGGATCTACATCACTGTTTTGGTTGACATTTGGAATATTTAGCCTTTTTACTAAAGCAAAATGAAGTTTAGCCTCGTCTGACATCTGATAGCGAGCACAAATTCGAGGGCTTGCTGAATGTCACATGCCCCCTTCCTGCCAGGGGCAGGCCCCGAAGAGACACAGCTGGCCTGCTGACAATTCCTTTTTTTTTCCTGCTTAGAACTCAACAGCCTGAAAAAGTGAAAAACAAATCTCACTCTACCGAGCAAGCATGTCTATTTATGAAGTGTGGACACTGTCACCCATCGCAGGCAGAAGCCCAAATAGCCAGCCTTTCACTCTATCAGATTCTTCCTCGCCAATATAAACAGGAAGAGAGAGTCGTCTCACCTCCTGTGAGCATTTGCGAGCACTTGCAAATGCATTTGTCGTTGTCTGCATCCTTTGTGCTAAAATCATTTCCTGGTTGGCTTATGCTGCTTATTTTGCCGGCTGTCCCTGTAAGTCCTTTAAGGTGAATCCTGTAAACATGCAGAGGGGGGAGAAAAAGAGTGTTAATTGTCTCAGGCTATTGATTTGCCGTAGTGGAAAATTTTTCACAATGAAGGATTCCATTCTACAGAAAATTAGCACAGTGGTGTGTATGCTCTGGACAAAACAGTTGTGCACTGCTATAAACAGGAACCAGCTTATCATCAGACCCTGGGCAGAGAGGAAGGTTTCCACGAGACCTTCGGCGCGGATCACTCGCACACGCTTCAGCGGGGACTTTGGGCCTATAGTTTATTTTCCTGCCGCTTTCAGATAAACAGACAAGGGGAAATAGCATGCGGGGAGCCTCTCCCCAGGTCCGCAGGCACCGTCCCCATGGAAATGAGCATCTTGAGATGCCAAACGTTCTTTCCGTGGTGGGGGCGAGCAGGCCGGCGGGCAGCGAGGAAGGATTGCTGGATTCGGAGCAGAAATCCACAGAACGGCTGCTTTGCCTTGTCTCTGCCACATGGCAGTAAACCCGCTAGACACTGGGAAAGGAGTAAACGTACTATTAAGTTAGACACTGGACAGTGGCCCACACGTTTAGAAGTCCGGCTTGCACCCGTGACCGTGTGCCAGCGAGGAAGGCAAGGCGAAGGTATGCGAGAGAGCCCGCTGGCAGGCAGGTGGGCCCCGTGTGGCTGAGAGCAGGGCTTCATGTGATGCCGTGCGGCCGTGCAGAACGTGACACCACAGTGTCGGTGCATGGACATCGAGACATCCCATCCTGGGGGCCCTGCAGTGTCCGAGGGAGAACAGTACTTTCAGCCGCCCAGAACGATGCTCCTCTCTGGAACACCTGCTCACAGTTGCTGGCCCCTACCTTGGGAAGAATGCAGTCCCCGAGAATTCACGTTGGAACCGAGGGCGGGGAGGGGAGGAGCTGGTTCCCAGGGCACTCACTCTGCCAGGCCCTCTGACGGGTGTGGGATTCAGCCCTCACCAGCCCGAGAGGCAGGCGTTACCCTCGTTTTCACATGTGAAATGGTTGAGGTTCAGACAGAGTTGCTCATCCAAAGTCACATCGTGCACCTGGCCGAGCCCGGGTCGGCCGGGATGCGTCTCGCTGCGCAGTCGGGGTACCAAGCCTGGCGCACAGCGTCCCCCGGCGACAGTGACGGGTTACTGAGAAGTGGATGCGAGAGCTGGCCACGGAGCACGTGAGATGCGGTTCCATAAAGCACCGGTCCTAAGTCACTTCCGTGCGGATGGATTAGACTTCAAACGGTTTTTAATGTTACAGCTCTAGAAAGTTCATCATGAGGCATTGAGTGAATTTCTCCCTTTCTGTGTTATCCTCCTGCTTGGAGCCTACCCCAGCCCCCAGCACGGCCCTAAGTGCCCGCTGCGAAGCGTGTGCGTAAGCACTGCTCGTCGCCACTGGGAGCTTGAAAGGCACGGGCTTTCTTCCAGGCTCTCCTCAGCCGTCACAGGTGGCGCCACCGCACATGCTTCCCCTCCTTGTCCTTTTCCCTCTCCCGTCTCCTTTGAGGGAACTCAGTTCTCGGGGACTCCTTAGATTTCCCCGCAGGCGAGCGGAACAGCCGTCTGCTAGAGGTGTGTGCTTTTCGATCCTTCTATTGTATTGAAAGTTGCTTTCTTTTAAAATTCAAGTATTCTTGCAACTGCTGTCATTTGGTATCAGTTGCCTTTGAGGAACAGCAGTGGAGGCAGAGGTGATGACAACGTTTAATGATTAAATCTCAGTGTTTGCATAGAACTGCCAGAACGTTCGTGAAAAGTGACCGATTTTTAAGGTTTAAGGTACAAATAGTTTTTAGTTTTAGTAAAAAGAACCACATTCTACCGATTCCTTGTAACGTGTATTTTCCAGGTTTCCAACATTTGGGGAACATTTCTTTAGGATAAAACAACTGAGCTGCTATATACGGTTGATATTCTGAAGCATCTGTAGTTATTCCAAGTCTTAGTCACATAATAGCCCTCTTATCACATTGATATGTTTTATTAGGATAATAATTTTTTTTTCAGTGTAATATCTGTCTTATACTGCCAAGTAAATTAAACTGAGCTTTAAACGAATGTGTACTTTTTTAAAATGGCACATCCAAAGAATGATTACATTTCGAAAGAAATATCTGTTAAGAACCATCTCAGATTAAAATATTTTTATAATGTCAGCATACAAGGGTAATGACCCATTTTGTAAAATCTTCTTATATAAACAGTCTAATCCTTAATTTTTGTATTTCTTTTTTCCTTTTTTTTCTAAAATTCCTCTGTTGTAGATTCATAACTGTTGCCAGTTGGAAAAATATTTAGCTTGGAGGTAAAACAATGACCAGCCACTTGTGTCTGAAACTTCATTGAAGTTTTGATCCCTCTGGGGTCCTTTTGGAGCTGCAGTGGGGCCCCGACACCTCTGTTTCCCTCATCTGCCTTGCAGCCTCTCTGGGAGGGCTCTGCTCTGTCTGTGACGAGGACTTACGGACTATATCTCTGACTTGTTAGAAGCCCTGTTAGTGTTTACTGTACGTTATCTGTTTTCAAAACGTGCTTCTGAATTTCGATCCACTGTTTGTTTACAAAACAGGATGCACTGGACATCATCCGGTTTTCAGGTACTTGCCCAGGCCAGCCGACTGCCAGCCCCTTTCTCTGTACTGTCCATCGTGACCCTCCCCAAGGAACCAGCTCAAGGACCTTGAGATTGCATTTAGATCTCAAACTATTCAGATCTTGGAATTCCTGTTGAGCAGAGGGTCTGAGCTGGGCGCTCGTGAGGTTGAGATGGGGCCGTAGGCCAATGGCGCCTCATCTGTGTTTCTGACGTCAGGGTGGGCCTTTCTGCACTCACCGCCAGTCTGTGCTCCGTAGACCCCCGCCGGCCATGTCGGCGCCTGAGCCGTGCCACCGTGCCCCGTGGGGCCCGTTCCCGTGGGGCCAGCCGGCACAGCATCTCCCACCTCGCTCCTCCCCGTCACACGGGCACTTCGGGGTTCCTCTCTAGATAACAGCACACACTCGTGCCTCTCTGTACGTGCCTGATGGTGCTGGGGCATCAGGGTCCTGGTCTCTCGGTCCCGTTGCTGCTGTCTCGTGGCGTGTGGGAGCCAGGAAGTCACTCTGGGCCAGGGTCACTGCCTGTGCTTTCCTCGGAGCGGCCACCATTGGTGCTGCCAGGGGGTGGGGGCGGGGGTGCGTGCTAAGGAAGCGGAGAGCCAGTTCTTTCCATAGCAGGGGGCAGAGGCATCAACTGACCAGCCACCCCCTCTCCCCCAATTCTGGCACCTCGAAACCCGGCAGCACACCCTGACTTTGGGAAAAAACATAACAACTGAATGTGTCTAAACGGCAAACATAAAAATTTGACTTTTAAACTTTGTGGAAGGAAACAGTGTATCCATCTGTGATGATACTGTCCTGACGTCTTAAGTAGGGACACGGCACCCACGCATTCCGCAAGTAGTTGTCAAATGCCCCTTACCTGCCAGGCAGGGTCCATCTGTGCTTCGAGGATAAAGAGCAAACACAACAGACAAAACACTGTTCTCGTGAAGCGTCTCGTATTGTGAAAACCAAAGTCAGAACTTTAAAACTAGAGAAACTTACCTGAAGTCAGCAAAGAACTCTTAAGACTTCAACAGGACATTTTTTCCATTTAAGGCAGTCTAAGAGTGCTTAATACAGTGGGGTTCTCTCTTTGTGGAACAATCACCCAAAACGTGCTTTAACTTTTGTCACTCACACGATGTCTCCTTACCTGTAGTTGAGTTCTTCACCGGAGAGAGAGAAGTGCTCATACAGCGAGTGAGCCTCGTTCCCTTCCCAGTCCGTGAGCCGTATTTTGAGCATGTAGCGTTTCTGATTAGTCACTTGGGAAACAAACTCATTTCCCAGCCAGTATTCACCAGAAGGGTTCCCAAACCCCTGCAAGCCAAGTTGTAAAGTTCAGTTATTGCATTTATTTTTTTTTTCTTCGTGTATTTGAAATCAATAATCCCCATCAATTTAGAATGGAATGGCTATCAAAAATTCAGCAGAAATTCCTTCCCTTACTGTAAAAATGGCGGAGTTGGGGGGGGGGCGGTCTTCCGTATGAGAAAGTAGAGCTTTAAAAGGTCAATTTTAAGAAGTAAGCTGCTACTGGAAGAAAATTAATGTTACAATAATGAGAACGACTTGGGGAACTGTGAACAGAAACACCAGCACAGACGGCCAAGCTTATAGACGTGCGAAGCGCTACGGAGCAGCCAGCTCGCCATCAGCTGCCAGACCCGCCACCGTTAAAGGTCAGCCCGGCGCCCACTTCGGCTTTGATGTGCGGTTGACATTACATGGACCGGACTGTTCTGTAGTGGAGAGACTGAAACAGCCGTTCAAAAGAACCCTTCGGTTACAAGAGAAAAGTCCTAAGTCACTGGTTAGTTTGGGATTTTAAGCGAAGGTTCTGCAGATCTCGAAAGATACTTTTCACAAAGAAAATTACTTTAAGATGGTTGAATGAATATTCATACCACTTTATATTCTTTCCAAGTCTTCTGAAAATCAACACTGCCATCTCCACGTCGCTGGATGACTGTCCACCCGCCTCCAGCAGTTTCCATGTCGCAGTAAGCCTGCCGGAGAGAAGCGCACGGTTACTGCTGCCTCGCGTCCCAGTGGGAAAAGCAAGGTGAAGGCGGGGCGTGCGCCCCCAGGGTCTTCCGAGAAACAGATGGTTTTAAATCGACGGAAAGCCATGAACTGAAAATGATGAAAAATGAACAGGCACGTAACACGACGTCTTGAGGAAAGTGCGACTTGCTCGTCGTCGTCATCTGTTCTAGGCTAAAGCCCCACCCCCGTGGCTGAGCCAAAGACGCCGCTCCTCGGAGGTTCAGTGGGAAGGACACGGCTCGGCAGGCGGACCCCAGACCGCTCCTCCCCACCCCACAGAGTCCATCGACCCGCGTTCACAGCCCTGCACACACGTGTGCCAGTCACCCGTCCCTGTCGACCCTGCGGGCAGCTATGTAAAAGGGACACTCCCGTGGGGCGTCCAGACTCCTGCCGTGGCGTGCCGTGCCATGCCGTGGGGCTGTCAGGCGGCCCTCCCTGTGCGGCCCCGGCCCGGTTTCCCGGCTCAGCCCTCAGCACAGGGGCCCCGGGGCCCCGCGCACCCCGCGCTGCTTCTCTCCCAGCTCCTATTCTGCCGTCGAGCTGGCTTTAAACTTTGCGTTTAAACTTTGTTCAGGAACACGGAATTCTTTCTTGGACTAAGAGCATGCACGCTCAATTTCAACTCTGCTGGAGGTTTATTATGAAATTAAAAACCCCTGAAAATAAGATTACATAAATAGTTGTAAATAACGAGATTATAGTAGAACGAAAATGTTTTCCAGGAAGTTAAGATGAATTTCCCTGCAGCGTAGAAGGCAGTGACTGTGAACGTCAAGGTTCAGAACCAATTAGAAATAGTCTTCCTTTGTTCTTGTCCATGGTCTTTTCGGGAGTCACGGAGAACATTCTGGCAGAGTGAGTTTAACCGCGAACCGCTCCGCACTTGAGTTAAAACCCTGGAGAACGAGCGTTAAGAAGCCGGAGGACGGGCTGCTCGTCCGTTCAGGCGCTCGCGGGCGGACCCCCTCCTCCACCCAGGGCTCCCCCAGCATGGGCCACCTGGCCATGCCTCCCCCCGCCCCCAGGGTCCTCGCGTTTGGGAACACAAGATCCATTACAGAAAATTACATTCGTTAATAAACTACTTTCCCCCTTTAAAATTAATCGGACATGTAAAGTTGATCCGCGTCAGGTGACCCGTCACCGTCCCCCAGCGACAGCACCACCACCGTCGTGAACGGGCACCGTGCTGGGCCCGGCGCGTGCATTATCCAACCTCCCGGCCGCTCCGCGGTGATACGTAATTCCGCACTTTTGAAAGGAGAGATTTAGTAAAGTTAGATTAATTTGATCTGTCATTCAGCTACTAAGTGGAATATAGGATTTGAATAAGCTCTCTTTAATCCCTAATTCTGTAATGTTTTTCTACCACGCTCTGCTGCCAAGAACAGAGAAACCCAGCGCTTCTATTACTAGGCCAGAAGTCCCTCAACACGGCTCCAAGTTGAAATCAGTTCACAAATAATACTTTCCTCATTTGCCTGTGGTCCACGAAGTGGTCAGCATGGCTCACGTCCATCATGTCCTTTTAAAAACCCATTTGGTAAACTAGCTGAATAAGCTGCATTGGTCTGGGAAGCCGTGTTTGTATGAGAGCTTAATTCCCCCGGATCCTAAATGGCATCCCAGCGGGTGGGCAGAACTGATCTGGTCCTCAGTGAGCCTGTCCTTGCTCCAAGGACATGTGATTCTTTAATGTCAAAATCACCGTTATGAAGTCACTGGTGTTTAGATCAGAGTCCAGACTCCGAATGGCTGAGGTTCACTGCTAGTGTGTAAATGGCTGGACCCATACCATTCTCTAACCCCATGAGGAGCAATGACGAGGTTATGAGAACATTTTCTTAATGTTACTTTGTCCAGATTTTAAAAAGAGGGAGAGAGGGGGAGAGTTTATGAAAACCGAAATAGTATGGTTAATCGGGTGCCGAAACGTTCAGAGAGAGTTCAAATCGAGTTATCCCCATAGCCAGAAGTACTGAGAGAAAACGATGCAGCCGACGACAGCAGAATCAGAAAAGCCAATATCCTCAGAAAACGCCGTAGCCCTCCCCACTCAGGTCGCAGCGGTGCTGAGGGCCGTCGGGCCTTGGGACTGGCGTGCCATCGCGCGGGTCAGCGGCCTGCTCTCTTGGCTACGGCTTGATGTCTCCCAGCAAGTAACGCTTGACCTAAAGGCTATGCTTCAGCTCTGAGACTTCAGAGAATGACCGATTAAACAGCAAAGACAAACACGAACATGAGGAAAGAGGTATCCCGTGAAACGAGGGAAGGAAGGGGACTTACGTCTCTAACTAGCAGGGACCTCACGAGCGCGTCCCGTGAATGCCACCTTGCAGTGTCTGCCTTGTACAAAAACCCTATGAAGTTTTCAAAACTAAAGTTGATATATTTAGGCCCTTTGGGAGAAGATCTGTTAAGTGTGCTTTTCCTGAATTAGATGAAACAGGGCAATGGGCAGTCACAGTGACAACTCCCGTTTATCGAATGGGTGCTAAGTACTAGGTCCTGTCCATTGTCACCTCGAGTCTGCTCTGTGAGAGTAGGGCTGTTAAGCCACGTCACAGATTAGGAAACTGAGGGCACACACAGGTCAGATGACTTGCTCAGAGGCATAACTGGCAGAGCGAGCATTTCACCTTCCTCCCCCCGGGTCCGACTGTGAATTACGGAGTCTCAAGTCTGGAAGAAGAGCTGGGCGCGCCTCGACCTGGACCGTTTATTCAGAGATGAGAAACTCGAGTCAGAGAGACGCTGTTCTCTGCGGGGGGCGTGGATCATTTTCACTGCAGATGTTGAAAAGCAATGTAAATCCTAACGGCTCCAGCCCCGACCTGACACTCAGATCGTCCCAGAGTCCTGTGCTGTTCTGTCTTCCTGCAGAACGTTTCTCTGGGGCCATTAGGTCGATATCGGGCACTGGGGTGGGGACATCGCGCTACATCAGAAAAGCACTTAAACAGCAGCAGGGTGGCACTGCACAGCTGGCGATCGTCCCGGATTTGTATCAGCAGCAGGCACACGCCAGTCATATCCCCTGTCCTCCCGCCACTCCGGACCCCACTGTCCCTGCGCCAGGAAGAGACCGACGTCTGGTAGCAGACCGTAGCCCACGGGGAATGGCCGTGGGATCCGGAGTGTTCATCGCTCCCTCATCTACGACAGACCGGGTGTTTCTCTGCCCGAATGCACTGCGAGGGCGCTGGGCACGTTAACTGGTTTTCCAGGTTGATTTAAAGCAGCGCGAATGAATTCGATTTTTTTGGAGAGTACTGTCTTGAGTAACACATTTGTCTTAAATGCATAATCAAGCTGTGTGTTACTGTTTCAAATCCCACGCTCTAAACCCTTAACGCTTATGTTTTTAGTGTTTCCTCATTGCTGTGCTGAAGGTCATACTGAATCAAGGTGGTCATACTTCCAGGTGTCTCTAAAATTTCCATTTTGATACAGTATTAGGTGCCTTTTCTATAAGTGTTTATATTCAGTGTGTAGCTACTTTTACAGTTAGATGCAAACACATTTATAGACATTCGATATATGCAGTCACACAATATTTAGATAATGATCCTCTTATAATATCATCCTGCCTTAATCAAACCTCTAAGAGCAGCCACATTGAAATATTCTCTGGGGAAGTGATTTTTTTTGTCTCATCTGCAGCTCAGTGTTCCTGGGGGTCCCTGACAGCCTTGTAGCAAGTCGACAAGGTCAGAACTTTCTATAGTGCCCTAGGTGCTCCTGGCCTTCTGCAGCAGGCTGGCATTGCACTGGTGGCCCGAGGCACTGTGGGTGAAGCTGCCAATGCCCTGGGGCCTCTAGTCTCAGTCACATACTTGCAACGGGGCGGGGGAGGGGGCGGGGAGCCACTTGCAGTAAAATGTTCATTCTATTCAACCTCTGCTGCCAGGCGCGTGTGTTTCTGCTGCGTGATGGACGGGAAACGTGATCGATCCCGTCGCACCCCGGTGTAGGTGTGAGCAGAGTAAGCCTTATAGAGGGGACGGAAGACCACGGTTACTTGCAGTAACGATCGAAAGACAAAGTATGGTTATTTGAACTCTGGTGCTGGAAGGTACTTTCTTTAAAATTAAGAAATGAACCTCACGCTTCAAGCAAGGCAGCCGACGGTGTGTGACTGCGCCCAGGGCGAGGAGCGCGGGACAGGTGGGCAGGCCAGCGTCCCCACGTTGGTGGCAGGTGGCAAGTGCCACCTGTGCCCTGCACGGAGCTGGGACCTGCGGCCCAGGCGGATGTGTGGCACTTGGGGCCACCGGCCGGAGAGGGCTGCCGGCCACGCCAGGAGCGAAGCGGGGACACAGACGTCTCACCTTGGTCTCCTGCGTGGAATTGGGGAAGGTCAGCGTGTAGACGCCGCTGGTGGCGAGGCCCGACTTGAACGCTTCGGCGCAGTCTCTGAAAACAATCTGCTCGTCCTTGGCCGCGAGGGAGTGCTTAGCTGCTTCAAAAAGAAATAGGAGAGCTTTGAGGTGGCGTCCGTGAAAAGATACAGGTGACTATTTTGTGATACGCTCCTTTGGGGAGCTGTATTACATTTGAAGTATTTACCTATATTTCATCCGGGAGACCTACCCACGCGTTGGTCCCTAGACTGGGTGGTGTGGGTGTCACAGGGGGACAGGGGGACGGAAGCCCGTCTGCCATTCTCTCGGCTCTTTTCTCCTGCCAGGGTCTGGGCTATGTGATTTTCTCTACTTTGGCTCATCAAAGCCGACACCCCACACCGTCTTGGTCCCTCCAGACGATGTCAGATGATTATCTTTCCTTTTTTATGAAGCTGAAAAAAATGTGCTTTGTCTAAAGTATAAGAGTAAGACTCTGGTTGGAAGGCACCCATTGCAAACTGGCAGCCCGGTGTGAAACCTGCCACTTAGCATCACCATTGTGCTACTGTGTTGGTCTGTTTCCTTGTTTCAGTGTTTCTGTTAAAGTTGGGGTAACTGCACGACTCAAGATTGAGAACCCGTATCTTAGGGCATGACAAATATCTCAGCACGATCCATCTATAAAGTGTATCTGGGTCAAAGACTGCAAGCTGAGAGGACATTATGAGATAAACCCTAGTGAGAACTAGACCCAATCTGTTTAAGAGAAGCCTTAACTAAAAACGCCACAATGATCGTATGTCACATCTCTGAGCAATGCCCGAGGATGCGGCCCTTCTCCCTGCCAGTATAAGGAGAGTGGAAAGCTAGAACGAGAGTAGAGAAGGCACAAGATATTTCAGGATGTGGCGGAGTAGGGAGCCAGACTTTCTTGAGTGCCAGTTTTATGCTATTTAAAGTATTATTTCATCTTTGCAAAATTTTTCCCACTTAAGAAATTAACTTGCCCAGCCTCATCTATGTAATTGATGGAATTAACTCAAAGTAGGCTCTTTGACACCCATGAATCAAAAGTATGTTAAGGGGTGTTTTGCCTCAGAATAATTAATGAGTATAACCATCCCCCTCCCCTCCCCTCCCTCCTCTTTTTTAATCGGTTCTATATTGAGACCCTATAAAGCTTTCATATCAAATAACGTAAGAGAAATAATGCCTCCTTCCGAAAGATGATAGTGTTTAGACTTTCGAGAGTTCCACTGACTGAGGACGATTAGAACTGAACTTCAGACGGCCTGCGCAGAGCAGAGCACTCACAGCTCGACGTGGAAAGCATGGTCAGCAGGCTGTGGACGGTCTCCATCAGGTCCTGCTGCTGCTTCTGCAGGGCGGAGTTATTCACCGTGGCGGTCACCAGCTGTTTCTCTAGTTCTTCAATGATGGAATTTTGCTTGGAGACCAACACCTGCAGCTGGTCTTTCTCTTCTTTTATGGACTGAAGTTGAACGACGTGTTTGTCTTCCATGTCTAGAACTTTCTTTTCTAGGAAACTTGGAGAGGGAAGTCGTTCGTTAGTGAAGGGAGCTCCGAGCACCATCAAGGCCAAGTGCTTGACGAACATCTAATCACCCTTATACAAATGTTTATGTTTTTTGTTTTTTTAAATTCCTGCTTCTCCAAGGCACTCCATTAAGATGGTAGAAGAGTTATAAAGTAAAAGATGTTGCCACAGCCCTGAAGAAGCTCTCAGGCGTGCTGAGATGCCTAGCTAGGTCGCTGTGACGCAGATGCGACATAGATATGAGCAGAAAATACCCCGGTGAGAATGCGAAGTCCTCAGTAGAAGTTACCATGTGGGGTGTGTTCGAAGAGCACGGTTTCACTAGAGAGGAACGGGGGCCATAAGAGGCGTCCTCAGTGCCGGGAGCACACACGGGCGAGTGGCAGGACCCCGGCCGGGCACCTCCTCGCAGGGCGACCTGTGTTACCTGGGCAGGCTGTCCACTCACAGGGTCTCAGGTGCATATCTGAGTGAAATCTACCTATAGAAATAAATCTCTGTCTAAAATGGAGGCATCCAGTTAGATCTCTGGGCCCCTTCTAGTTCAGATAATCTAAGCCTGTCGTGCCTTTTGGGGGCAGTAAAACTTTCTGAATCGTTAACCCTGCAAACACCGTTACTCAGCCAGGAACGGACTACCCATGAAAGGTCTAACCTTTAAGCATTCACAATCAATATTAATAATTATTCTTAGAAAGTCAGTTGCAGGTCTTAAATTTATCCTAGCCCCCTGGTCACTGTCAGTCAGTTAGGACAGTTAAGTATATTGTTGTTGTACCAAGTCAATAAACGACCAGTTACTATAACAGACATTTGTATTAGACTTTCGTCAGTTTTACCATATCTGTTTTCAACTGTCATGAATATTTTTCTCAATATCAGCTAACTTATATTTTAACTTGTAAATCATTTTCATTAATGTAAATACCAAGATGACTTAGCATAAGCAGAAGGTAACCTAAAAATAAATGCATCAAGCTTTTCCGTCTCATACCTAAAATTATTTCTAGGGCCGTCAGGCAATTTGCCTTAAAATCTCTCCAACAACGCTCGACTTAAACAACCAACATAAAACATACGGATGTTTTTAAATCACTAATCCATACTGCTTTCAAAACGATGTTGCTGAAGTTTGTTACCCAACTGCGTTCTGTTTTTAATATTTATTTATGAGGAGGCATCAGAGAAAGATGTGTGAACACTCAGGGAGAGAGATTTAAAAAAAAGAAAAAAAAACAACTTATTTCTCCCAAAACTCTACAAGTATAGCTGTAGAGGGCAGTCACCCCCTGATCTAACAGATCGTCTTCAGGTTAAATACAAGCACGTATTACAGACGTAAGCCCAGAATCAGGACTTCCCAGATGACACCAGCTCAGAGTGGCACCCGTAGTGGGCACGGAGCGCCGAGCACTGCCAGTAAAGCCTCAAGGGGTCTCGGGGATCACTTCTGGAGCAAAATGTAGACCGAGACCCCTGACTGGCTTGTAAGATCAAGTGAGTGCGTTGCAGTCAGCATTTCTTTAATGAAAGGAAACTAAATACAGTTAAGCCTTGAACAACATGGGTTTGAACTCTGGGTCCATTTATATGGGTTTGAACTGCAGGTCTTGCACCCCAACCGCCCCACCCCCCATGTTGTTCAAGGGTCAAATGTAAATGGGAACAAACAGATACGAATAGAGTGTAAATTCGCAGCAGGAACTTGGCGCACTGTGGCAAACCCCGTGGCCAGCAGTGAGAGGTGGCAGAGGAAAGGACGCGGGGCCTCGGGAAGCACGTGCGTTGTCGGAAGCTTCGCTCATGAGCATCTTGGTTTTCTGATACAGGATGATCGATTTGGTCATTACCATAAATGCTGTAACTTTATATTCACGCAATTCACGGCCAGTTGAGAAGTGCGGGGAAAGACCAAGGCTGAACCCTGAGTTTTTATTGCCTCTCTTCAGAACGGGACAGTGACAATAGTAGCACTTCCCAGTACCAGCCATCACTATGCCAATGATCACAGCTTAACTGAACTGGTACAGATAGTCCCTAAATTACTTATTTGTTCTGAAAGAAGAAAAAAAAGTGATAACATAAAAAATTTATAGTAACTTACAGCTTCAGCTGGCGAATCTGAAAGTGCCGTAGTGGCAGTTTTCAGAAAAACGGTCACCCTAATAAGTGCTTCAACGTCACTCGAAGCTATTCCATAAAGAAAGCAGTTGCACTTTGAGGGAATAATGGAAGGTAATTTAAAATTTGTCAAATCGCGCGCCACACTCACATATTTGTGCAATGATGTTCTTGCACATGAAATCTTAATCTTGTCAACGCTTGAGGCACCTGAAAACACAGCCTGCCAAATTTACCGAAAGATGAAGAATCATCAGCACAATTTTCTTATTATTTATTTACTGTCGTTGATGAAAAAACCTTATTTTTGTCATTTTGATTCCTGTTTGTGAAAAAAGGGAATGTGATTTCTGCAGCTGCTATAAAGATGATTCTTCCTGCGGTTATGGATTTGCTACATGTGGTTTTTATGATAAGGCAGCTGTTAAAAGTTGTATCTTTCAGTGTCTGTACTATGGCAGTTCATTCAAAAACAGCTCTGAGCTAGATGTTTGCAGTCCAGGGTCTGGAGCGCTACTGTTCAAAATCACATAAAATTTTAGTTGATTGGTTACATTTGACAAGGTGGTTTTATGGAGAAAGTGTGATGTTTAAATTTTATGTCGTACAAAACTGGACTTGAATGATTGGAAAAGTATATCATTGGTCATCATAGATTAAATTGGGAGAAAATGTGTAGCATTTAAGTGAAAAAATGTGAAGGATTATATAAGCAAGAATAATCAAGAAATAAGCAAGCTTCAGCGTGGGACCACTATTTTGTACATTATAAAGCTTTAGCATACAAAAAAATTTCACCAAATCATGGATGGTCAAAAAATGTAGTGAATGTTGATTTTATTTTAAAGTAGTTCAGGCTGACTGTATGATAGGTTTGCTTCTGGTAAGTGAAAGTATAAGCAGCGTGTCTGAACTCAGGAGTAGGATTCACACTTTTTTAGGCAAAAGGCAATATGAATTAACAAATATTTACAAAGATGATTATTTGGGTGACATAAATGACTGACTTAACTGAGAATTTTAGCATCGTGGCATACTAAATCAGAAACCTAAAGAGTGGACAGTATTCACTACTACAGCATGTTCAACAAACTAGACATCTCCTAGGTTTCTCACAGGCATTATTGGCAAGCGACAAAAGTTGTTGTCACCCAGGTCCCGTATGTCCCCAACATGATGGCAGCATGTCAAAGAGAGCACCATTAAATAAGACCCTTTTGACAAAATGACATTAGAGAGATTGTCATATCTTAGTTATTGGTCTCAATATTTATTTATTACTTTGCAAAAGAGAAAAATTGAAATATGAAAGAAAAATACTTAGATTAAAAATCCATTTGCTTTTTCAAATCATAAATTAATAATGAGTTAAAATTGGTACCCAAAGAGCAGAAAGAATTATTTCGGCTTAGTTCTCGATTAGCAGAAAATAATGATGATAAGACAATAAGTTTATAGTCATTTTTGGTTGAGTAAAGAATAATTTAATCGAAATTATTTCATTGTGAAACAGAAAGAGTATGTTGTTGTTTAACCTTTCTCCGTATCATGTGTGTGTCTCGATTAGAAATAATCAAGTATGTGAATACAATCGTCTTTTTATGTCCTCAGCTGGAATTAACCTCTGAAAATCATCCCTGTCCATCACCTATAATTCTTGTGTTTGTATTGGTTTTCTTGAGATTTTTCTACATTTTATTTAAATATTGTTACAGTCATGTTTAATATTAACTTTTGTTTTTACTTAGCATGCGTTTTAGGCATAGGTACTTCATTATGAAACGATGCAAGTGTAGTTTTCCTGCCGTAGACCGCTTTGCATTAGAAAACACTAAGTTCCCAGAGAAAAGAAACTTGGCAGAGTGAGTGTTAAAACGCCGAGGCCAAGTACCTCATAGACTAACGTGCATAACACAGACGGGCGTGGAGGGCCATGGGAAGAGAACCTCTAGGGGGACAGGGCGAAAGCGAAATCCAGGACCGCGCCAGCAGCTGCATGCCACGCCAGTCTCCAGACCCCCTCCCCACCTTCCCCTCAGATCCTGATCCCTGTGCAGCACACGGTGAGAAACCTGTCATCTTGGAAGCCAGCTTATGCCGAACAGTCACATGAAATCGGCTTTCATATCTAGAAAGTGTGCAATACTGGATTACAATTTTTTTTTTTTTTTGCTCTTTTTATTACCTGTTCTTATCTTGCAATTTGTTTATTTCGCTGGTCTGATCCAAAATCTGTTTTTCCAATTTGTTTGTAGAAAGGGAATGTTCCAGAAGCTGAAGTTCAAGTCTTGTTGTCTGATTTAATACCTAAATGTAACAAAACAAAATTCCTATTTATCATTTTTAAAATTAGATGTAACTTCCTTTTAATTAAGTTATCTAAATTATAGGAAAACATAACTAAGGTATTGTTTATTTACCCAAGTATCTTATTTTGGCATATTTTCCATTATCAGAAAAGTCTTGACTTCCTGGATTAAATCAGACTGTGTTTAAATGTTTTTTTTTCACCACGTCTTTATTTTGGAAAGTGTTTAATAGTTCTGGACAATGGTATTTGTGTCCAGTATTATGATGTTATTTTTCTTGTTTTGCCATGTTTTGTCATATCGTTTCATACAGTGAGACAAGTGGGAGTATAAAATGGTCATATTCAACATATCAGAGATTGTTGATAAATGACAAAAGGTTTCGCCTCTGCTCAAAACAAAATCCTATTCTCACACGTGTCAGCAGACGACGTGGTTACAAGTCACACGCCTCTATGCTAAACAGCTCATTTTAGCCTAGCTCTTCCTATTCGTATTCACTTTAGCCTTTTTTTTTTTCTTTCCCATTCCTCTTCTTTAAAAAATCGTGTCAACCGATTAGGAAACAGTAACACGTCAGTGTCACATGGGAGCTCGGTGTGGCTTTGAGGGCCGCGTGCAGTGTCTCTGTCCCCGCTGTGTTCCAGCAACCTTAAGGAAGAATTCTTTCGGTTTGGCGGCCTCTTACCCGGAAGAATCCATTACTCACATCCTCTGTGCCACAGCTATTCAGGATGTGATGTCACGTGTAAGTGTAAGGCAGAATGTTGCCCAGGAGTGAGGGTCTTTGAAAGAAGCATTGTTTGCTCGGGGTGTATGTCATTCACTAAAGGCTTGGCCGAGGCCTGTTGTGGCTGGATGCGTTCATACCTGGACACACTTCTGTGGATGAACAAAGGCATTGGCCAGCGCGACAGCTGGGTTAATATTAACACCTGGAATACAGACTGACCCACATCTCTGTCGGTTATTGCTGAAAGGGGCTGGAACCCCGAGTCTCTAGCTCCCAAAGGCTCTAACCTGAGCACAGTGGGGGAGAGGCGGGGAGGATGGCGCACAGACCCCGACCACCCAGAGGGCCACCTGCATTGCCTGCCCCTCACAAAGGCCTCCAGCTGCAGGTGACTGTCTCCAGTTCCGGGTCGGTGTTGTCTGTTGTCTCTACGCTCTGATCTCTGACCTCCAACCGTTGTTCGGTTTAATAGCCTCTGACAGGCCAGGAGAATCTTGCTTCTGATCAGAAGTTTTCATGTTTGGATTTAAACCTATTAAACACAGTAGCTGTTCAGCAAATGCCGGAAGCAGATCAGAAACAAAATCCCTTGATGTCCTCGCTTAGGTTCAGCTGTTTTAATATGTTCAGTAGGACACGACAGGCTGTTGTCTCTTCAGCCATCTTCCTTTTTCCTCTTCTCCTGGATCATGCGATACCTAGTTTCACAGCAGATTTCTTTAATCATGTGACCCAAAACTCATTAAATGCGAGTAAGACTTACACAGGGTGGAGCGAAGGTTTCCATCATTTTAACGCATCATACTTTTCTTATTACTGTGATGAAAATATAAGAAATGTACTTCCAGAGCATCTTCTGGATGAGCCTGATCGCCCACCGGTTTCACTATGAAAAGGTGGGGGATGTGACTTTAGCATCACCCATTTATTTTTTGTTATTGACTACAGATATATCGATACATTTACTTTTAAATTTTTATGTGTTTTCATTTTTAGCATTTATTACCTCTTGGGATTACAATTTTCAGTACCTTGTTGTGATCCACTGTGTAAAAATTTATATTTTTCCTAAACTGTTCTAATACTGTGAGAAAATTTGGTAAGCAAATGATATCTTATTCTGTCCTCAGATAAAGGTCTTTTATTCTTCTCGGGCCTCCCTGCTGTTTTCGCCGCCTTGTCCAGCAGTGCTCGGGGAGACGTGACACGGCACCTGGACCTCCTAGACGTGGTCACAGGCGGAGGGCTTGTGGTCTCCCTGACCGACCTCTGGCTGATGTCTGTTTTTAACCGAAGTAGCAAATCAGAATAATACATCGTGGGGATTGTTTAACAATTAAATCTACCTTTTTTTTTTAATCCTTGTAGCATTCCTTGTATCTCAGAGCAGGAAGATACGAGCTTTATTAGCCGGGATTAGGGACCAGTGAGCTGATTCCCCAGGGCAGAGGCCCGAACTTGGAGCACCCCTGTACATTCCTCCAGCAGTGCTTTTTCCACCTGGACGGTTCTTCTTGGGTCACATGTTGTGTGTCATTTAGCAGACTCTGGATGAATTTTTTAATGTTTCGCTGTTTTAATGTCTCGCAGTTATTCTTTTAATGTTTTCATATTTCATAGTCTTCTTTCCTATTACCCAGTAGCTCATAGAATCTTAAAGCTTAAAGGGAATTTAGCAGTCAGTCCTCCACTCGAGTTTACATTCAGAGCTGCTGAGGCCCAGGGTAGCTGACTGCCTTGCTCAGGTTCCTTGACCCAGTTAAGGGCGGGACTAGAACCGTCATGGAACTCAGGGCTCTTGGCTCATAGTTAAGCTCCCTCTGTGCTGCAGCTGCCGCCGCCGACTGTTCTGTTTGCTTCGTTCTCTGTAAAGTCATAGACCAGATCGTGTAAGCTCATGCCGTGAACAGTCTTAACGGCTCTTTGAGACGCAGGTTTTCTCTTAAGAGTTAGATTTAAGGACAGTTTCCAGCTCTCTGCCCAGTGCTTTCCACCTCTCCGTGCATCACAAAGTTACGGACTTAGAAAGGACAAGGACAATGCAGAGTCTAGAAAATACCGGTGCGGCGGAGGGGCATTTATCTTGTCGTCAAGTGTGAATAAGATGAACACGATCTGAATGCCCTTAGTAGACTAAATGTAATTTAACCTCAGCACGAAAAATGAAAATATATTTACCTATTATAAATTCCTGTCTAGCCACAAGTTCTTAAATTATCGGTCCACCCCGTTTTTCCTGCTGTACTTGACCTTTCTTTGCCATTCCTTCCTTGGAAACGTGCAGCATGATTTTGCAGCGGGATTTACCTGGCGGCCCGTGCTCTGTTTCGTTACTCACTTGGGCTTCGACGTCGGTCAGCTTCCGAGTCTGCGCCGCCGTCTGGTTGAGCAGGCTCGTCCCGATCTCGATCATGACGGCCGTCTGGTTCTGCACCGCGTTCTGCTGCATCTCCACCATCTCCTTCTTCATGTTGTCCTGGATGTAATTCTCCAGCTGGAAAAGGACACGTACCGGAAAGACAGCCGTCAGATGGCGGGGACCCTTATCCCTAAATGTTGCCCCTCCCTTTAAAAAAAGTCTACCGCAAGACCCGGACCTTGCTCTTATTTGGAAATGTTTCTGGTTTTTGTTTGTTTTGATCACTATCAGTAAGGTGCAGTGTGATCTGGCAGCTTAGCAACATCATGAGCGGAAGACAGACTCGAAGCCCGGCCTGCGGGGAGCAGGGGCGCTCTGAGGCCGCGGGGGGCGGATAGCGGGCAGCGGGAGGATGCGGGGTGCCGCCAGGAGGATGCGGAGTGCTGCCGGGCC